CACTGTGCGTCCTCCGAGTGACCTCCGAGTTGAGCACTTGCATTATTTCTGGGAGTGACAGTCGCCTGAGAATTCAAACTCATCAATAGTCTGTTGAACGTGACACTTTGTACTCTGTGTGTTGCCTCTGTCCCTGTGGATTCAAACTTTTTGCTGCTATACTGCAGTTTTAGCCTTTGGTGGGTTATTACAAAATATGATTCATCCGTGAATAAATAGAATAAAAAAGTACTTGGTGGGCAAAGAACATAGCATTCTCCTTTGGATTTAGATCGTCAAGAATAGACACATGTCCTTTAATACACGAGAACACTTCAACAAACACAGACATTACAAAGAAGAGCGTTGGGTACTTCTCTCTTGACATTAATCTTGAGTCCTCTTCAAACATTTTTAGGTGATCACAAATGCTTTGAAACCTTTGTCATTCATCATCACTAAACTGCAACTCATCCAGCTTGATGCTTCCAATTGGAATAGTGGTATAGAGTCAATTTTTGAACCCAATTTGAACTTTAATTGCTTTCTCAACCATATAATATGTTGAGTTCCAACGTGTTGAAACATTCAAGATCAGCATCAAATTTTTACAACTGACAAAACTAAAATATCCACAAAATTTATTTCTTTGATGAGTACTAGAAAGCAATTTTTCAATATAAAACATAGTCTTTGGATAAGGTTATATTGGTTGGAATTTTTTCGTCAATTGAAATATTGTTCGTGTCTTCCAAAGATTTGAAAAACGTTTTCACTGAAAAATTGATAATGTGTGACATTTATTGGATACTTGAATCATCTACGTTTTAATCCTTCAATATTGTTTCACAAATGCAATAATCGGTATTAAAGTTTTTCACAACTGACATTAGAGTGTTGTTGTTTGAGGCATTGTCCATAATCAAACATCCAACATGCCCAACAAATATAAATTGCTCCAATGTTTGCTGGACAATTTCTGCCATTCCAGCTCCACTGTGATCATTGATGAATCCAATCTAGATCAACAAAATGTATGATCTATGGATACTATTTTCCTCTACAAAGTTAAGGATTTTTGGAGATAATAATCCATTGGTCCCAATAATGCATTGCTACTTCCAATATATTGATGTTTATGATGGCTCTTCACATGCTTCATGTGATTTGATGTGCTTGATTGATTCTTTAAAAGTATATTCCAAAAAGCACCACGACTTTGTGCAATTTTTAATGTATACCAACACCTTGTCATCTTTGTCTATACGATTAATGTGTTCATAAACTACATCTCTTGATTTTTCTACAAATTTTTTCGTCAAAGATGGTGAGTATTCTAAATCTATTGACTTAGAAGTATGCATAGAATCACCGTCATTCAATAAAATTGCAATCCATCATTGCTAAAAAAACGTCAAGTTCAATTTACAAATCCGAGCCAACAACCTAAATAATGAGAGCTAGTTTATCCAAGCCAACAACGTGAGTATTGAGAGTTAGGTTATGGATGATTCATTTTCCTCTATTGTTGAGTTGTGGCTGAAATGCTGACAACGACAACGGGTGCTTCGCTGGAGTGTTCATCATTGACATGGATCAAGTGTGGCACACTTTAACTTTCTTATGTACCTTGCCAAATGAACGGTACGACAACATGAGTAAGTGATGAACAAATTCGTTCAAACGGTTCAATCGTCAGGGAGCTTTATCTGAAGTAACGCAGCTTGCTAAACATTATTTACAAATGCACTATCAATACTAGCGTACGGTGATATTTTCAGATTATGAAAAAAAAAGAAGATGGTAAAAAATAAACATCATTTATCAATCAAAAATTATTAACGAGCGTAGATAAAATCAGAGATCAACGATATATGCAAAAGCATGTTGGGACGTCTGCATTAACGCTTCAAAACACATTTGTTCAAATTGCTGAACAAAGTTGTACTGCAAATTTTACACACAATTCTCACTTGTTCAATTTGTCATTCTTGTTTAGATGATCAAAAAGTACTTACACGTGTAGTGGTCAATCTGTCTCTAGTAATGTTGATGTCTTTTTCTCTTTCTAAAGTGCGATATACAATAAACAATAAGCGGAAGATTGGAAAATGACTGACAAATGGAAAAAACCATAAGATTCTTGAGGTGGAATTGTTTTAGAAAAAAGTACACACGTTGGCCTGATCACCAAAACTTTGAATGCCGAATACCGGTCGGCATGAAGCACGACATTGGCACAAGTCTCACAAGAGTGTGAGTACTTGATTCACAAGCAACAGAGAACCTAACAATGAGGGCTGAAGGGAAGGAAAGAGTAGCATGCTCCACTCACATTGCACAAAAGAATTGCTGCCTCCTCGTATTCCAGCTGCATAAAACAACCTTCCCATCCAGCCTGCCTAGTCGTCCGCAACGCGCGCTTGCGATGATTCACTCTTGAGGTCAAAGCACCATCAGCAGAAGCAGCAAGACAGTTGGTCGGTTGATCCACCCCTAGAACCACCACTCGTTTTACCTCCCTTCCCTGCCCTTCCCTCATTCTTTTATTCTCATCGAATACAGAGTTTCGGGTCGGGTAGAACAGTCTACTCCAGTCTGAACCCTACTTGACCCAAACTAGAGTTTTCGGATTTTATCCGAACCTGATTGGAGCCTAATACATACAAATTGGTTTTATCACTGCATAGCAGAAAATTAGTGAATAATGAGATATTGTAACATTCAAACCCTTGACTTGATTTCACAAAGGTCATAGATGTTAATAAACTAGATCTCACCATCAATCAAGGAAATAATTGAACAAACATTCATTCTTGTGATTGAGAGTTTTTGATGAAATACATGTAAAGTATGTGCACAATATCTTTTTAAAATTAGAAAGCGGTTCAATTAGAAGACATCTAAGAATGGAGTTATCACTTTCACGAGATTTTTTGTAAAAAATATTTTTACTTATAATTAGGTAGCTCCCATGATTACTTAAGATTACAGTAGATGTATTATGTAACATGTAATTAATATGAATAATGAGTAAAAGTGTAATTGGTGTTGTTTAGATCCTATAAACCATTAGGAGATAAAAAGGACTTCATGTTGTTTGAAGTAGTTCTAATTTGAGTTTAGTTCTTGAAATGGAGTATTTTAAAGTTTAGTTTTGATGGATAGAGACTAGAGTAGTAACCTAGGTTATTTCTAATTCAAACTGGATAAAGATTGACTCAGATGTTTTCAATTGTAGTTGAATATATAATGAATTTGTGTATGTTTGGAGAATTTCAAAACCTTAAAAAAAACACGTGATGTATGTGTGTTGGTGCAGTACAACCTATGAGTTTTTTTTTGACAATAATGATATGCGAAATGTATATTTTTTTTGATTCCATATAAATGTTTGTTGTGATTTTTTTTTGCATATGCAGGTTGTGAATTCAAGCCTTGAGGGCTGGATGTGCAATTAGGACCTAGAGCTCAGGGGGTGGAGTTTGATTAGGTATAAACTTAGGGTTAGAATGAGCATTTACATGATATAACATAAGTGGGTAATTACTGTAAGCTCTCACTTGTGGAGCAAATAAGGGAACTAAGATTGTGGATGAATGTGGAAGTCGATGGCAAGATCAAGAAGAAGACTGTCAAGGCAAGCCTGACTGTGTGTCCATCGTTAACACGTGCATCGTATATATAAATGTGGGTAGTATTCGGTTATCATTAGTTTTAACATGCTTTCCCCGTTTAGAAGTCGCAAATGCAATCTCGACGCGTCAGCGCAAGGGATAGGGAATCCTCTGGTCACGCACAGTGCATGAACATTTGTGAACTTAAAAATCTGAAGGTTACTCCTTTCCAACTTGTTTTACCAAAGAGAAGTTCTGAGTGGCTTCATACCTCTTTCGTAAGAAGTTATGATTTAGAATGAGCAGTAAGTTAATATCAGCACCTTGCTCAAATGTTTGTTCACGGCAATACGAACATGGTGCGATGACTTCTCCAATTACTCATATCTTGGTGAGTTGATAAAGCACAGACGTCAGATGTGGAGCATTTCTTGTCGGCAACGCCTCGACCCAAGTACCCGGACGGTAGGCTTTACTTTGATTTGAAATTTCTGACGACGTGATTTGCATTTTTCTTTTGATACATGTGCAGACCGACCATGGTCTCTAAGGTTTGTCGATCTAAAAGTAGTCATGCAGATGTGATTTCCTGATCTTGATGGTACCTACCATGAGAAGTCCCGTCCGTCCACGCGCAGATCAGATTGTGCGGAGCCACGCCACACTTCCTCTCAAGAGACCTCGGTTTTCAGTTTCTCGAAAACGTTTCGTACCTGATCTTCGTGAGCTGTGTGAAAAGCTTCCCGTGCGCATCGCAAACCTGATAATGAACTGGACGAATCGTCAATTGAATCTCCGTCAGTCGCTCTGATTGGCTCAGATTTGAGATCAGATCTCTGGACGTCAATGGCCTAGTTTTATCCGCCGGGGACAATGATGTCGTGCTAGCTCCTCGAAGTAACAAATATGGAAGTCATATGTCTTAATCGAAGGTATGGACACATATACAGACAAATCAAGGTCCGAGAATTACTGTACTGAATGCACAAATGATCATGCACTTGTCCGAGAATTACTGCTCATGCACTTGTCTGCTGAAGTTCAGCCGACTTACAGTTTCGTGCCTATAATTGAACCAGGAATCCGGATAACAATACCAGCCAGGTAATTTGGAAAAACATTAACAGTGTAAAGTGTCTGGTCGTCCAGGCAGTGTTCTTACATGCATGACGCCTGCATGGCAGTATCCAATAGTATGTTAACAACAGCACATTCACCAAACCGCATGAAGTCCTTCATCTATCTAAAACCCTTTCGAATCCACTCTGGTTGGCATAATGAACTGGACAATTGCGGATTTACAATACCAGCCTCGAATTTGTCAATGTCCAGCTCAGCGTTCTTGCTCACAAACTCTTCGCCGACCAGAGACAAATGGTCATCTCTACTCCCATGAAGGCAAGCGATGGTTCAGGTGGCCTCAGTGTCCTTGAGAGCAACTTGTACCTCGCGTGTAGGAAAGTGACTTGGAAATCGCTTCGAGAACTTGTTTTCAAGTCATGGGAACCTTTTTCTGAAGCTACGACTTTTTCCTCAGAACATCTCTCATTCCCGACCAGAGTGAGAGGAGGAACACACATGAAAAAACATCTCTAACTCCGAAATTTTTACATGATAGTGGTCGCCACAGCGTTGAACCGACACAAGCCAAAGAGCTCTTCGACTCCTGGGAAAAAGACGATGTTGTCTAACTCATTTGCCGCCACTCACACGTGATTCATCCCTTTCACTCCCGATGCTGGAGGACCAGAACTCATCGTGGTCTCTGATTTGTAAGCTGTGCAGCTCTACTTAGAAGGGCATCGATATGAGATCTGCCGGCGCAGCACTCATTTCAAAGGACGACCATCCAATGTCTCATCTGTAAGTGAATATTCTACCGTTCAGCAAAGCTTACATTCGTGAAGCCGACTTCCGCACCAACTTTCTTGTGCTTTGACCAAAACTCTCTTGTCCAAATGCTTTCGGAACCTTCTGAAACTACAGATACTGTCTGCCTGAACGACGGCAGAAAATGGTTGACGCAAACTTCTAATTGGGTGTTTGTTAAAAAAACTACTTGCTGTTCCTCTAATTATGAGCGTGACGTGTTCAAGGATTTGAATTGTTCAAGTCAAGTGGAGGCGTGCTAAGAGACGCAAAAGCTGCCTATTTCCGGCTACCTGGAGCTTGCGAAGTTGTGAGGCGCAGCCACGGTCGAACATGATGTTCTACAGTAGCTGTCGTTTCAGTTACGTCCATACGTAGCAGCTATAAATATGAATTCCAGTTCATTTCTAAGCACTCGCAGCATCAACCTCGTCGAAAATCTTGTCCCATCATTCTAAGAGATCAGTCAGTGTGCAAGCAAATCTTCTGTGGAAAACATTGTGAGTATGCTGTACGCTGTACTCTGAAGTGGAGAATGTTCGAGACCTGAAAGAGCTAGTACGTGACAGTTGACTCTTGTCAGGCATTGCAGCAGTGAGAGGCAGCTGCCTCGTTGCTTGTCTACTAGCCATGACGATACTGCCCTTGGAGACGGGAGATGCGGAAACACTTCAAGGTTCATCAGACAAGCACCCCGATTCAGGCGGCATCACTCCCCGCGCCATCTATAGAAATGATTTTCCCCAAGAATTTGTATTCGGCTGTGCAACTTCCGCTTATCAGGTCATGGAAGTTCAACGCGTCCGCCTGCGATGTCGTGAAATTCTTCGTTTTATTCACCAATATTCAAATCAACGTTGACGGGCCTGATTTCTCATGGTCCTTAAATGCCAAAACTTTGATCACTTGAAGGCTTTTGCATGGACATAATTCAGAGTCGGTTTGGATCAACCATATATTTCCTTGCAGTCGAGAAGTGCTCGATGAAAAGCACCGTCCTTGGCTGAACTTCTGTTCACGTAATTGCAGATAGAAGGTGGTGCGTTTACAGACGGAAAAGGAAATAGTTCATGGGACTACACTGCTCACCAGCCAGGTACAGTCTTGCAATTTTCATTTGATATTGAACTGTCACTGAGTTTAGAATAATCTGCTGGAATGCTGCTCATCCCAAGAACAGAAAGTGTTCATCCTGAACGACGGATGTAAGTTCCATGCATCGACGAAACGACGAGTTGGAACATAGATTCTAAAAGTAAAGTCGCTCAAACTTTTCCCAACAGTCCGAGCCAGAAGAGTTCAAGTCTGTATGCTGGATGAAGGCAGACTGTGAAGATTGAATCTGAATAATGTGATCCTGACTCTTTTGTGAATGTTTCTTCCATAGGAGCAATTCTCACGGGAGAAAATGGCGATGTTGCTTGTGATAGCTACCACAAGTATGAGGTACGTGGTAGTTGGATCAAGTTCTTGGTAGGTCGATTCATGCTCAGCGTTTTCCGACATGTACTCGATCTCAGCGGCAGCAGGCTGTGGCTGTCTCCAATAATGTTTCCTCCTCTGAACCAAACTTCAGAATCTTATTTGAAATTATACATTATATGATTTTGATATCATACAATGTATAAAATTTTTATGCATATTATACTTGGTTGTCAACTTGACGTGGGCTACCACACCAAGTTGACATGGGCTACCACATGGTAGTAGCCCACGAATCCTTAGCATTCGGCCCCGTGGATGTCTGGACCGTGTCTCAGTCCAGTGCGGCGGATCGTCCTAACAGACCCGCTAAGCGTCCTTGGCTTGGTCAGTCTTTACCTAACGAACTACCTGATGCTTTGTAGGCTCATCAAACAGCTCCTGTTGACTCAATCGCATATTCGATAGAAGAAATCGAGTGACTGACATAATTTTTTCGGTTTCAGGAGGACGTATGTCTTCTGGCAAACCTGGGAGTCGATGCATATCGCTTTTCTATTGCGTGGACACGTATCTATCCAGGTCAGATGAAGGTTCTAAAGCTTCGAGCTTCCAATCGCGAGTTGTCGTACTGAAGACTTTATTTTCGTCGATATCAGTTCGTAGACTTGGATACAATAGTACTTTTGTTGCAAGACTGTTCCTGTCGAAATTATACTAGTTCATCTCCGTGCTGCAGATGCAGTGCAGGTAATTTTTGAGGTGAAGAAGCATGTATACCTTGCTGAACAATGAATTGAACTTATTCATTATCTTTCGATCCTGCAGACGGAGTGGGTGAGATCAATCAATTTGGTGTCAACTACTACAACCGCCTCATCGACAGTCTTTTGGCCAAAGGTATCCATGTTCTGTAGAGGCAGTTGTCTTGACGAACTTTGAAAGAACCTGTTGTGTCAAGAGATTCTTCAGTTTTCTCGCTTATAAGAGTGAGGCCTGGGAAGTCGATAGTTTTCATGTACGTAACAAGTTCCATTTGCACTTATTTTCGCCGACATGAGAACCCTTGATTTAAACTTACTCGAATTCTGCTGTAAACCAGGAATTGTGCCATACGTTACCCTGTACCACTGGGATGTACCACAAGCATTGATATTCAAATATGGTGGTTGGCAAAATGAACAAATCGTGTAAGCGTTTTGCGTGAGACTCTCTGAAGTTCTGTACAAAGATGTGTAATCAGCATAATACTCATGATTACCATTTTATAACTTTTCAGGATAATGTCCAGTTCTGCTCATGACGCTCTAATACCTCCAAATTTCTTCTTTGTTTCTTGTCGATATATTCAGAAATGATTTTGCAGTGTTCGCTGAGACTTGTTTCGACCTCTTCGGTGATCGAGTCAAGCATTGGATCACAGTGAATGAGCCCACTGTCGACTTGGCTCTGAACAGCGGCTGCGTAACTACCGCCGACTATAATTGCACTGAATCGAACAAACAACAGCGACGATACATTGCCGGACACAACATGCTCCTGGCGCACGCGACGTCTGTGAAGATCTTCCGCGAGAAATACCAGGTCTCCAATTTCTAGCTGCAAATATCGCTTTCATGTTCAACCACCGGTCGACATCGTTGGAATGTCAGAGCGTCGCAGCATGTCGGTCTTCATAGTGCCATGAGCAGTGGTGACCATGACATTTCCTAATTCAATATACATTTGCAGGCTTCGACCGGCGGTATTATAGGCATCAGTCTTGACATTCAGTGGTTCGAGCCTCTCACAAACTCCGAAGCAGATATCAGAGCGGCCGCCACTGCTCTTGCTTTCCGTGGAGGATGGTAAATTCCGCTCTGACCCTGATTTGTTCTAAATATCATACTTGGTTTCCATCTGAGAACGAGAAAGCTTCAGTACTGTCCGTTCTTGGTTGTCATCTTTTGTCTGAATCTGCCATATCCTTTACGAGTATGAAAGACTAGCTCTTCCTGAATGTAGAGACGAGAACTATGATAGCACGAGATCGTCTACAGACTGTCACTTGAAATTTAGAAAGGTGGCGAGCTTCGGGAATACTAGAAGTACTGAGAGACAACAGTACTGACAAAGAAGCTGACACTTCAGTCTGCGCTTGACAAATCAGCCACGATGTCACAGTGGTGTTTCTGCATGAATTCGCCAAACCCGCATTCCCTGGGAGATTACTCTCTGGACTCTAGTAAGACAAATTTGTCCTCTCGTAGATTACATATGTGGATCGAATAATTTGGTGCTGACGATACGTGACTATGCAATCACAAGCTGGATGATGACACGTGTGAATTCGTTATGTGTACTCCCGATCTGTGTTGCAGGTTCATGGATCCCCTTTTCCACGGTGATTATCCGCAGGAGATTAAGGATGAGATGAATTATGCTCTGCCGGTTTTTACTGAGGAGCAGAAGATACTGGTGAAAGGTTCTGCGGATTTTATCGGGGTTAACTATTACACAGCTGAATATATTTCTTCCAAAGCGTTACTTGGGTTCTCGAACGAGCCAGCATTTCCTGTAACTTACCCTTCGGATGTATATGTGGGAAGTAAGTAACTCGCTTGCGTGGTCAAGATCTGCACTATGTCCGAAACTTGTTTTCTGCAATTTTATGAAATATGTCCGAAGTCATGTCCACTTGTCCTGCTTCACGAGACTAACAAATTATCTCTCGATGCGGAGTACAGAAACTAAACACGGTGAAGCAATTGGCCCTGAGGTGAGCTGCTGAACACCTGCACTCTGCAGTTGTCATCCAGAAGTACAGAAGCTATGTCTTCTGTACCGGAAGACATAGCTTCTAAGTTCAGGCTGTTCCTTGAAAAAATCTCGTCGAGTTTGAAGCAGTTTGATTCCTTATCTTGTTAATTCAGCATCACGATGCCCAGTGAATTTATAGCTAGCTCTTGCGTTTGCGAAAGCAGTGTTTGATCTTTGAAACTGTTACAGGGTGCGTCGGGCCTCAACATCGTCCCTTGGGGGTTGGAAAAGTTGCTTGTAAAGTTAAAGGAACTTTATGGAAATCCTGTTTTTTATATCACCGAAACAGGTATGAACAACACCATTAGCACTTTCATCAAAGTCACCATCTTGCACTTCCACCTTAAAGTCTTTATCTCAGCTCTCCTTGAAACATGCCTGGTATTGCAAATGTCAAAACAACATCTTTGCTTTGTTAACTTCCAGGCGTATCAGAGTTGAGGAATCCCAACAATTCACTTGAGGAAAATCTGAATGACGAGATCAGAGTTCAGTATCTCCACGATCATTTTGAATATGCCCTGAATTCTGTCAAGTAAGTTTCATGTGTTTCACGTCTTTGTTGTACGGAATTTTGATGTGGAGAAAAGGCAAAGGATGATGTCATTAGATTATGTCTTGACTTGAGCAGAATTATTGCAAATAGAAAATCTGCCGAACGTTTTATTAATTTTTCAAGTATTAATCATTCTAAATGGCCGTGCAAACCGATCGCTGACAGGAGAGGTGTCCAACTCCGTGGAATATTTGCTTGGTCATTGATGGACAACTTTGAGTGGTCATGGGGATATGATTACAAGTTTGGCCTTCACTACGTGGATTTCGACGACGGCCAAAAACGCTATCCTAAAGCCTCTGCATTGTGGCTCAAGCAGTTTCTGCAATAGCCCAGTCCAGAATTTAGAGAAAGTCCAGCATAGCCCAATCCGGTGTAGGATAAAATTGAAATTAGATCAGTTCGACCTGCCGGGCATATTCAACTAAATCCAATACAGCTGTTTAGCCACGTTCAAAAAATGAGTGTGGCAGGATTGCATTGACTCCTTAGATCTTCGGAAAGGTATCTTGGAAAATGGGGAGCCATTGGGGGCAAGATACTTCGATGCAGAAATGATTAGTGGTCTTATGCCATTTTTTCCGAACGTGTGAATGTGCATATCATGTTCACACACCTTTCGATATCTTATAAAAAAATCTTCCAACTTTACTCGAGTGAGCTAGTTACAGTAAAGTATTCAAAGTCATACTTTTTGAATTAAACAGAAGGTGATGTCTTCTCAATTACAGTGGGCCATCTTTTCTCTTGAGTTGAGTATGTTACCATTCATCCTGATTTCTCTTTCGGTCATGGGAACATCATGAATTTCTGTAGTACTCATTTCAATATCCGGACCTCAGCCTATTGCAAGGCTGGAATGATCCAAACTAGACTTTAAGATTTAATTGGACGGTGATGCCCTACCCATGCTACAATTTTGTCTTGATGTATGTCGCTTGAGCCTTTCATAGTCAAATTTGCAATGATGAAAACAACTATCTGTAAGTCAGCTGTAAGCACTTCTTTTAATCTTTGTGGCGACGAAGCTTTTAAAATATTCCGGCTTTCAACACCCCAACCTTTCATCAATACTCGTCTCTGCTTTTGGACTTGAGGGTGAGCATTCCTTGATCACTAGCATGTGCAGCTTAGAGATATTATAGAAACTTACAGATCTGTGAATACGATACATAACATACAAAATACATACATTACAATCGTAAGGTTTTAGAAAATTTCAGTCTTTTTAATATTATTCATTAATTATTGTATTAATCTTAAATAATTAGATGAATTGTTTTTTAATCAAATTAGCCTCAACAATAAGTTGAATTAGCAATATATACTTTTTTCAAGATATTGCAAATACTACAACATATATATTATTATTGTCATATATATTCATTTATTGATAAAATTGCATATTTGCACTTATAACATTGAAGGTCAATAATGCTATTGATCTTGTAGTGATTTGTACATTTACTTTTTTATTCAATTGCAGCTTGGCTGATTTTTTAAGTCATCATAAATTTCAGTTTAGATCTTTTTTTAATGAAAATATAAAATATATAGAAATTTTAAAATTTATTACATATTCTATTACGACATACATTTTAGACGACTCTGCTTTGAAATTATATCTAATATGGCTAGAATTTTAAAATTTACAAAAAATATATTTGATATTTTTTAAAGTTAGATATCAATCAAGATTTTGAGGTTTTTAAGAAAATCATAAACGGTTTTTTTATGTGTGAAATAATTAGCCAGATGTAATTTTGAAACTCTTTGGGGAAGAAAATGTTTTTCTTTATACATGTTTATAGGAATGATATGTTTTTCATGATCAATGAAAGAAATTTTGCTATAAACAGCTCTCTTTCATTATTTCATCTTTATCTTTACTTCCTGTTGGTGCATGATATGTAAAACGTGCTGTTTGAGAATAATATTCCTCAATGCGCTTTACTAAGTCAATGATGAATTCAGATTTTCACAGTCTGGACATTATAGCCGAATTTAGATGTTTTGGTAATTAAATATGTGGATTGTATTAACTTAAATGATGTACAAATGTACAACGATCAGAGTGGCGCAGCGGAAGCGTGGTGGGCCCATAACCCACAGGTCCGAGGATCGAAACCTCGCTCTGATACTTCAGAGAGACAGCTTCTAATTACTTTCCGGCCATTTTGGGAAGATCTCTGGGGCTCAACACAAGATATATTTTTTAGGGAGCGGGTGCCTAGTCTTCAGTCTACAAGCCTCTCCAAAGTTATTAAATCAACACTGGTTGCGGTAATTCACGTCGTAAGTATTTCGGACATTCATACCTTATCACTAGCTACGTGATGGGTGATGAAACCAAGCTGCCTGGTTACAGGATTGGAGCAGACTTCTGGCAACATGAAACGAGATGGAATTAGATCCATCATATTTTTTGTTCTAACTGTATAACTGTGACCATATAACTGTATTTAGTACATACAACAGTTATGTTGTTCAAGGGTATATGCAAGATTTGATAGTGCTTGTAATAAATTGAAACAATAGAAGTAAATGTTAACAAAGAAGAACTGTTAAGAGTTTCTAGATGCTATGAAGAGAAGCAAAGCCATAACCCTATGCAAAAGTGTATGACATGTTTGTAAAAAATCTAAATTCGAATTTGGTGTTCCAAAGTGGGCAATGGTAAGGTAAGCAATGAGACTTACAACCTTGGAAGAAGCGCTCTTCTCATGGCAAGCATATTTTACATGAATGGCGATATACAGATGAGTGAGTCAAGGAAATGTATAGTATTTGAATAAGGTGAGAGCTCAACCAAATTATGAGATGCAAAGATGTGGTCAGAGGTACATTAGTCTCCCGGTTAAGTACGCACTTTGAACCCGGGAGTGCTGTGCTTACTTAACCGGGAGGTGAGTACTTAAGACTATTGACTTCCTAATCGTTTGATTTGAGTGTAATGTCAAAGGAACCTTATATGAACACTCCTAAATGACTCGGCACTATTTGATATCATAGAGAAACTGAACAAAATCATGATTCCATTGGAAGAGCTCGAACTTGCAAGTGACTTGATCATGAAGATGAGACAAACGGAACAAATCACGAAGCTAAATTGAGATAATGTATGATGAAGTTAAAGAGAAAACTTTGTAATCTCACTTTTCTAACATCTATTGACACCGCCAAATAAAAAAATATTGCATTGAGTTTATTGATTTCATATATGGACTCCAGCACATATTTGTAATTGCCAAGTCGTATTCAATTGCCAAGTGAGTTGTAAAAGCTGTTGTTTCTAGGAGAGTGATTTGAAATTTTATCATGGACTCTAGCAACGTTAATTGTTATAGCCCAATATAATCTAAAACCTCAAAAAGATGATATAATCTTTTCTTCATTTTGCAATAGTGGCTTGCTTTTTTCTCTACTATGAGAGTTTGTCTCTAAGGTTAAACGAGTATATATCAGCCACTAGAGGTTCACGCTTCTAATCATATATGAGACAACCACTAGGAGGAGTAACATTTTTTGACCATAAACCAAATGAACGGACATGTCATGGGTTGAACCTTATTTTTGTGCAAAAAAAATGCGTACTTAACCGGGATGCGTACCTAAACGGGAGACTATTGTATTGAGATGAAGTTAAAAAGGGAAAAAACAATGAAATTGATGTAGCAGGTTTAGCCTTGTAGACCGTCTTCAACTTCAATGAATCCAAGATTGATTCATATAACATATGACACGCTCATATACCAATGACCTAATGAATATAATATTGACTTGATCAGTGATGGATTTCCAAGAAAACCGAATAGTTACTTAAATCAGCCTTATATATCTGACGGTATCATAGAGGCAACTATGCACAAAGTATGACTTGTGGATGGAGGGGGTATATTGTTTGATAAATAAAAATTTATTTCTCTTTGATTTACAAGAAGTCGATTTTCTGTCCAAACATTTATGACTTATTGTCATAAATGTGCACTGGGATGACAGTGAAAAATATGCCAGACGTTCTCAATAGAGAAAATTGATCACTGCGCATTCAGATATGGAGATGCAAATTCATAATTCTTTTGCTACCGTTGTACCATGGCATTGCGAGGCACGAGGGTTGACGAATATGAGCAATCCAGAATACACTTTGGCAAAACGCACACCGATCTAGCATCAAACAACAACTCCATAGTCTCCAAAATAAAGTACTCTCTGTAAAGTACTCTTGATTAAACCACTACTCGTTCATTCCCCAATTGGAAAAGTTCGTTAGCTAAATAGGGGACTCCCAACATTCTTGATGTGACTTAAAGCAGCATGGAGGGCACATTGCTTGGATCTAGCGAACCCAACCAAGAGGAGCTCGCTAGTCGATCACGGACCGAGAAAGCCCATCCGGTTGCCTGATGAAACTCGTTGCTCTATAATCGGAAGGTGAACAATGATCAATGTGATCTTCAACCGCACTAAGTGATCAATATCCATGATCTCGAAATACGGGTATTGAATTTATCTACATTGCTGGGTCGTGCAAATAGAGGATCATCTTTTATAAGAATCCTCAATTCGGGATCAAGCCCGGCTCTTTACTGTTTGCTTGCCTGCGATACTGCACGATGTGTGTGAATGCGCTAGATACACCATCGGATTGAGATTGAGGTGGCTCGCGCCGACCGAACTACTCTTTAGAAATTGATTTGCCACGTCTCGTAGGTTCCTGAGTCTCTGATTCCTTTCATTGGGAAAAAAAATACTCTATCGTTAAAATTCATTGTAGGCTCATTTAACATATTTCCCCTTGCCATGCTATGTCTACTTTTTATGCACATGACCACATATTTAAGTCCATGAGCCTGAGAGGATTCCGTACACCTCGTATGTAGTACAGAACGACTCTGAATGAAACTTTCTCTAATGGACTTGAAAGAAAACGTAGGATGTCGTTTCTGCTAGGTTCAAAAATGTCTTTCAGTCGTTTCTGCAGATATAGGAACCAGTCACTTCAAATTCATAAAGATTACCAGCACGGACCAAAAGCAGCCAAATTTTTAGTCCGGATGCTTGTCTGGTGCCAAAGCTACTCGACAAGCTTATTGTGTTTTCCCTCCTGACGATCCAAGACACAAGTCGGGAATTTTGGTGCAAATGATCAACTCTCGAGCAAGCATGTCTCGTTTCCTTGATATTGTCTTACATAAGATCTTGTCCGTTCAAGTTGTGCTCATTCGTTGACTTACGCGTGAACACGAGAACCTGCTCTGAGCATGAATTGATGTGGCTGCGCGCAGAATATTGAAATGGTCGCCGTTGGGCTATCATTACAAGAGTCAACAGCCTCTACTGAGCTGGGACTGTCAGCCATGCAAGCAGTTTTAGCCTATGCCTATGACTGGAAAAGGGCTCATACAGATGCAGCTTTCCCTTATCATGGACAGCTCTTTGATGATGATATTGGATCACGCTCACTAAATAATATGTCAAAGCCATATGGGTTGCACAGTGATTGTGACTAATCTCACGCTAGTTGCAGACGCTAACAGAATTCAATCGATCGTGATAGAATCTAGTCCATCTTCACAATTTTGTTTAGAATCTTTGGACGTCAAGGACTAGGGCTGGTTAGATAGTTTAGAAGGCCATACATCTTCTGCCGGTTTGCCA